GGGGGGGGGGGGCAGAAAAAATAGCTGAATGTGGGGATTTGGAAAGAGTTCTGGCATTGGCTGTGGGTGCCCCTGCGTGGTGCGGCAGGGCCAGGACAGCCCTGTGCTGCCACGGGGGATTTGCCCCCAAAAATACCCAGCCAACCCCCACCCCTCATTTCGAGGTCATCTCCAGGACTTGCTGGGGGATCATGAGGAAACTGCATAATTGGAGGCATTTTGGAAAGAAAATGTTTCCGGCTCATTTTTGGTGAGGGTGCCTCTGTGGGTATGCCGGGGGGGGTGTGGGTGGGCAAGGGAGGGTTCCCCCCTTTCCCAGGGGACAGTGGGGCTGAGCAGAGCACCCACCAACTCACTGCAGGAGCGGGGCATCCCCGGGGGACCCAGGTCTCTCCTACCTTGGATGCCGTGGTGTTGCCGGGGTGTGGGGGTGGGCAGGGGCTGGGGGCGGTGGGCAGCAGCAGCACAGCGAGGCAGAGGACGGTGGCCACCCCGACCCTGGCCATGGTTGCCCCGAAGCCCAGGAGGGAGTGGAGCCCTGGACAGACGGACGCGCTCGCTCTTGCTCGGCCGTTTGCTTTTGCAGCTCTGCAGGGGGGGGACACGGGGCGTGCTGGGGGCTCCGGGGGGGTGACGCAACCGGCACCTTTTGGGGACGTGTCCCAGAGAAGGGACGTGTCCCAGAGAAGAGCCATGAGCCCAACACCCAGCTCGGAGCTTGCCCTGGCCTCTGCGGTGAGCAGCGATACCTGCGTGCAGGGGTGAAGCCCTTGCTGCATTGAAAAGCTAAAATATGCCCTAAATTTGCCAATTTTGTCCCCCGTGAAAAGCCACCAGAGCTCCCTCCTGCTCTGCAGATGAGGCACCCTGCAGCCCCCCCGCCCTGGGTGAAGCCTGGGGGGCTTCAAAGAGCCCCCCTCGTCCTGGGCAGGAAGGTGTTTCCCCTTCCTTGCTAAAACAGGTCGTAAAAATGGGCTTTTTGGCTTTTCTGGCTTTATTTCTGTTTGTCTTTTCCTCTCTGGTAGCGGAGCCTCCTCGAGTCCCTCGGTCTGGCCCCAGGTGATGGTTTTTCCCATCTTCTCCCCCTTCCCCTGCTCAGAGACACCTGGGGGAGGCACGATGTCGCCCCCTTGTCACCCCCTTGTCACCCCACCCTGCTGTAGGCCCTGCGCAGGCTGGTGGGACTTCATTCAGAAAATTCAGGGTGGGATGTTTGGGTGCTAAAAACACCTTGGCTGGTTCCAGTTGTGGTGGAGGAGACCCGGGAGGGGGTCAGCAGGTTTGTGTGTCTCCCCATGGTGTCTGGGGCCAATGGGTGGGTGCCAGCACCCTGTGGCTGGAGTGGTTTAATCCCCCGTGAGCAGCCACTGGAGCTCCCTCCTGCTCTGCAGCTGAGACACCCTGCAGCCCCCCACCCTGGGTGAAGCCTGGGGGGGCTTCAAAGAGCCCTCTTCTTTCTGGGCAGGAAGGTGTTTTCCCTTCCTTGCCAAAACAGGTTGTAAAAATGAGGCTGAAGGGGCTCATAAAAATGTGCTTTCTTGGCTTTTCTGTCTTTATTTCTGTTTGTCTTTTCCTCTCTGGTAGCGGAGCCTCCTCGAGTCCCTCGGTCTGGCCCCAGGTGATGGTTTTTCCCATCTTCTCCCCCGTCCCCTGCTCAGAGACACCTGGGGAAGGCGCGATGTCACCCGTTGTCACCCCCTTGTTACCCCACCTCACTGTAGCCCCTGCGCAGGCTGGTGGGACTTCATTCAGAAAATTCAGGGTGGGATGTTTGGGTGCTAAAAACAGCTTGGCTGGTTCCAATTGTGGTGGAGGAGACCCGGGAGGGGGTCGACAGGTTTGTGTGTCTCCCCATGGTGTCAGGGGCCGATGGGTGGGTGCCAGCACCCTGTGGCTGGAGGGGACCCACCAGGTGGGGTGGCCAGGAGGGTCCCGTGCCACCACAGGGCTGGCAGGAGGGATGAGTGTCTCCTTGCCTGCTGCCACGCTTGGCCCAGGTGGGGTTTCGTCTGGGGCTTTTCACACCTCAGCAGGGTAGGAGATGTGGTATCGGGGCCAGGAGAAGGTCCTGCCTGTGCTCCCGGTGAGGATGCAGCAGGAGGTTGTAACACAGGGGTTTATTTTGAGTCCAGTTGAAAAAACATAGGGGTTTATTTTCAGTCCAGTTGAAAATGGGGGAAACTGGGTGTTTCATCCAGGAGGAACAAAAGAAGCCTTGATACAAAGTCCTGAGGCTGAGCTGGACCCGGCGGGCAGGGATGTCCCCACGGAGGGGCTGGAGGAGGATGAGGATGGAGCAGCCAACCTGGCCCCGGGGGTCACCCCAACTGCGGCTCCGTGTCGCCTTCGCCCGTCTTCTCCCTGGGCAGGGGACAAGCCTCCTGGAGGAGAGGGGGAGAGTGGCCATTGGTGTCCCCATGTCCCAAAACCACCCCAAGAGCCAGGACTGGCCGGGGAAGAGAGGGGCTGCAGGGGGGGAACTGATCTTCCATCCCCCTGGGACCCCCGTCCCAGACAGTGGCAGAAACTGGCCTGGGCTGGGGCTCACCCACCCTGGGGGGGGTTCAGACCTTTTCGGAGGTGAAGAACGTGTCCTCCTCGGTGAGGCCCAGGCAGTGCAGGTGGGCTTTGAACTCCTCCAGCTGCTCCTTGGTTATGTTGGGCGTCCGTGCTGCCAGAGAAATGGGGTGATAAAAGGAGAAGGGAGGAATAAAAAGGGAGCTTTAGGGGGTGCTTTGCTCCTTGGTGGGCCCTGTGGTGTTTCCCCTCTCTGTGTTGGGGGGAGAAGGGGATTTTTGCCCTGTCTGTGAGGGCTGGGGATGCCCGTGCCCATAGATGTGTCCCCAGGCAGGGACATGGATCCGGGGCAGCATCTACTCACCCGAGAAGCTCAGGCTGGGGGAGTTGGCATTGACGTGCTTCATGATCAGCAGGTCCTTGTCGTTTTGGATCAGTTCGGCCATGGAAAGCACATGGTCACTCACTGGAAGGTGTGGGGGGAGCGGGGTCCCCCGTTGGTGAGTGTTGCAGCATGGCAGGGGCTGCTCATCCCCTTTACCCCCCCGAGACTCATCCCAGAGCTGCCTACCCATTGCGTGGGGTGTGGAAAGATTTCCCCACCACCACCTCCAGATATGTTTTTGGGTGTAAAATGGCCTCGTGCCAGGGGCTCAGGGTGCCAAATAGTGGGGAGCAGAAGTGAGAGGGTGCAAGGTGTGGCTGTGGTGTCCCCCCATCCCATCCCATCCCATCCCATCCCAGCACCCCCCACCGGGGCTTTACCATGCACCAGGGTGTTGTTGTGCCACAAGATGAGGATCTTGGTGGCGTTCCTCTCCACACACGTCTCGTTCCTGTGGAGCAGAGATGTCAGATGGGGCAAACACCCCCCAAATTGCCCCATGAGGGATTCAGAACTGGAGCTTAAATAAATTTGGCAGAGCTGCTTTGCAGCCCCAAATTTGTCGGGGGTGTCTCAGCCCAGAGGATGGTGCCAGTGGGTGGAGATGCCCCTGGGGATGGGGGAGCAGGATGAGAGGAAAAATCCCCGTCCTTACAGTCTCATGACTTCGATGGCATTGAACTCATCCTCGTGGCTGCCAGGAGAGAAGGAAAAAGCAGCGTATTTCACCTCCTTCAGCTCTGCCTGGTCAGGTGGGTTCCTGGAGGCACCAGCAATGTAGACCCAGTGTCCCAGGAGCTGCGGAGAGGGGAGGAGCAGGGAAGGGTTGAGGGGGCCGTGCTGGTTTCACCCATGGGCTCCATGTGGGTAAAAGCAGATGCTCTGCCCTGCTGTCTCATGGCCACCAGCACCCCTGGTAGGTGGCCCCTGGGCAGGATCCAGGCTGGGTGAAGAGCTCTTGTGTTTCTCCCCTCCCTGAGAGGCGATGCTCCACCTCCCGGGGTGGCCACCTTCTTCTGGGGTCCTGTCCTGCTGGCTCCATGCCTGGCTCCCGTTAAACATCCCCCAGGGACCAAATGCTGTTTATGCAGTGAAGGGTTTCGTGGGTAGAGGCTCGTGACCCGAGTCCCCATCACTTGAAAGACTTAAAATAGAGCAGCGAAGCCCTGGGGCTGGTGCTGCCCAGGCTGGTTTGCATGGGGAGAGGAAAGGAGGAGCCCCCCAAAACCATTCATGGGTGCAGAGCAGCAAGGCTTCCCCTTGTCCCTGTGCTCCTGAGCAGCAGCCTTGGTTTTTTTTAAGGAAAAATAAGCATGGCCAGGCAGTGAGAAAAGCGTTGAGTGACTGATGGGGTTCATAACCTCTTCCCAGCCCCGTAACGGCCGGTGATGCTGATGGGAAAGGTGGGGAGGGGTGTCCTGGCTGAAGGTAGGGCTTACCCCACGGATGGTGGCATTGTCGAAGGTGACCGTGGCGAGCGGGGCGCAGGTGGGGGGGTCGGCAGCGAGGGCGAGCGGCAGCACCAGGAGGAGGGAGAGGGTGACCAACATTGCCCGGGTGGCCTGGAGGAGGCTCCTCTTCTGAAGGGCTGTGGCTCATCTCTGCCCCTTATATAGGGCCACCCGCAAAGCTGGATGTCCCCAGCCCCGATGTGCGTGTTCAGCTGCTGGGCTGTTTGCTCAGGCATGAAGCAATAGCAGGTGGAGGGAATTAGACTTGCAAAAGTTTGGGTTTCCCCAGCAGAAAAGATGATGGGGAAAAAAACCAACCAACCCAACAAAACCCCAACCCCCACATTTCACCAACGCAGGCTTTTGTTCTCGGAAAGTGCAATTAATTTTCCGGGTGCCTGGCAAAGTGCTGCCTGGCTCCAGGTGTGTTTGTGAGTGTGGCCTCGGGGGCACCTGGACATGGCTTTTCTCCACAGGGCAAATAAATCCCCAGGGTGATGGTTGAGTGGTGGTGGCTCAGCTGTGGGTCTGCGAGGGCTTCAGGTCTGGACTGGTGTCACTGCTTGTGGGGCAGGAGGCTGGTGCTGGGGTTTGTGTGAGGTCTTGGGGGGGGGAATTGGGGTGGAGAGTGCGTGGGTGCTGCTGGGGATGGGGCCATGACGTGGGTCTGCAGTGAGAGCGGGTCCAGAGGGGGCCACAGGAGCCTTCCGAGGGCTGGAGCCCCTCTGCTATTGGGGACAGGCTGAGAGAGTTGGGGTTGTTCAGCCTGGAGAAGAGAAGGCTTCAGGGAGACCTTAGAGAAGCCTTTGAATAGTTAAAGGAGGCTTAAAAAATGTAGATAGATAGACTTTTTAGCAGCACCTGTAGGGATAGGACAAAGGGTAACGGTTTTAAACTAAAAGAGGGGAGATTGAGATGAGATCTCAGGAAGAAATTCTTTGTTGTGAGGGTGGTGAGAGCCTGGCCCAGGTTGCCCAGAGAAGCTGTGGCTGCCCCGTCCCTGGAGGGGTTCAAGGCCAGGTTGGAGGGGTCTTTGAGCAACCTGCTCTGGTGGGAGGTGGGTGGTCTTTAAGGTCCCTTCCAACCCAGACCATTCTGTGATTTTATGATTCTAAACCCAACCCTGACCCCCAACTCTCTTTCCCCTCCTGAGTGGTGCCACTTTCCTGAGCTGACCCTACCCCAGCAGTTGTGGTAGGATCCCTAAAACCAAGAAATTTGGGGTTTAAGTAGTTTAAAATAAATGGTAGAGACAAGGACTTGCTTAATAAATTCTGCCTGGAAGGGGGGGACACATGGCAAAGGAACAACTGGTGCAGTGGGCTCAGCCTTTTAACGAGATATATCAATGACAACTTCTTTAAATGCAGGTTCTCTTTGTTCAACAGCGTCTCCTCCAACTTTGGCCTCGTAATTAAGTGCATTGATTTATTCAGTAAATGTGTTTGTTTTTTCCATGACCCCCAGCAGTGTGTTTCGGGAAGGGCTGGCTCATGTGAGCAACGGTCAGCCCCAGCCCAGCCCGTTATTAAGGTGCTGCCAAAGCTGCCCCGGGGTCATGGTCCTGCCGTGTCCAGGGGGAAGTCCCTTGGCCCCTCCGGGTGCAGGAGCGATGCCGGGAAGGAGTGCAGCAAACATGGTGCAGCCCCTTCCCGCTGCCCCAATGCAACCTGGGAGCAGCTCCCATGGGATGGTGTGAGGGGGGGGGTCACCCCTGGTCCTGGTTTGAGAGGCACAGGACTTGTTTCTCTTCTAATGCTTGGAGAAACGGCACTTCTAGAAGACTCTGGTGTCTGAATTGGTGAAAATGTTTGCTCTAGAGCCAGCTCTGGGGTGTGGGATTCAAGGTTTCAAGGTCAAGGTGTTTTGGAGCTCTCCAGGTGTGGGGATGAGGAGGAGCGAGACCGGGGCACTTGACCCAAGCTGCCAACGGGGTTATTTCATACCATGAGTGTCACATTCAATATAAATCAGAAGTTTGCTGAGGAATTCTCTCTCCCTCGATGGCTGATGATCCAGAGAACTCCTTGCCCCGGTGCCGGACCCTGAGCCCGTCCCTTCCTCCCGAAGTCCCACGGGCTGTCCCTGCGGGGAGTGCACGGCTTCCCGGGACAGAACGGGCTGGGAATGGTCCTTGTGCACTTTATATCTGTACCGAGATCTGTACTGGGTCTCTAGTGTTATTAATGTTAATATTTAGTTCTAGTCTATTAGAGCTATGTATGTTTCAGCCCTCAGGTTTCCATGTTTTTCCCTGATTCCCCTTCTCAGGCGGGGAGGGGTCATTGGGTGAGAGAATAATTGTCTAAATGACAATAAAGTGTTGTGGGTTCCTCAAATCATAACACCCCTGTGTCCCCACCCCAAGATGCGACCTCCTAAGCAAGAAATTGGGTTTTAACATTTGCTCAGAGCAACTGAGATGTGGTTTGGGCTTCAGCAATGAAAAAGACCAGCTCAGCTCTTTTCTTTCTTTTTTCTTTTTTATTTTTTTTCCTCTTTCTTCTTGCTCCCCAGCACTGTCCCAGGATGTGGAGGTGGCTGAGGAATGGGCTGGGGAGGGGGGATGCAGAGCTGAGGGCTGGGCAGGTTGTGCTGTGACCAGAGGAAGGGTTTTGGGGGGTGTGTGTGGGGTCTCTGGTCCCACACACCAACCTTGGTTTCTGCACCTCTCCTTTGCTTCAGTTTCCCAGGAAGAAGCCAAACAAAAAAGAAAACCAAACCCATACCCGTCCCATTTCATTGCTTCAGTTTTAAATAATTATTTAAAGTCCAAA